GGGAGGGCAGAGGATTGGTAAATTTATTAATTTCTAGTTTTTATTAAAAAAAAAGTGAATAATTAAAATGCTAAAATACTATTTATTGTTAGCATGTAATATCATTGGCATATCGAAAAATAAATAATCAATATAAAACAGATAAAGAAATTTCAAAAATGACACGTGAGGAAACAGATAATGATATGATATTTTTGGGAATTGTTGGCATTTATAATCCACCAAGACCTGAATCAAAAACAGCTGTTATGAAATGTTTTGGTTCTGGAATTGAAGTTCACATGTTAACAGGTAAGCATTCATTATATAAATATTTTATAAATTCATTCAATAATCTGTTCTATTAAATGTAGGCGACCATCCTTTGACTGCGGCAACAATTGCTAAAAAGATAGGAATACTTCCTTCGACTTATTTAACAGACAATAATAATTTTAGATCACAATCACAACTTGTTATGACAGCAACACAATTTGATGCTCTTACCGATGAACAGATTGATGAACTTAAAGAATTGCCAAGAGTTATTGCTCGCTGTAGTACTGAAACTAAAGTGAAAATGATTGGGGCATTACACAGAAGAAATAAATTCGTGGCGATGACTGGTAACAACGTCAATGGTATGAACATTATAATAATATAATATTATTCTACGTAATGGATTCAATTCTCTCTATCTCTCTTCCCACAAAATTTGTAAAGACTCGCCAAGTCTTAAAAAAGCAGATATTGGTATTGCAATGGGAATGGGCGGTAGTGACGTGGCAAAACAAGCAAGTGATATAGTGTTGACTGATGATAATTTTGCAACAATAGTTAGCGCAATCTCTGAAGGTCGTAGAATCTTTGTAAATATACAGAAATTCATTTCACATTTACTCAGTGGAAACGTATCAGAAATCGTTGCATTGGTGATCGGATTGTCATTTATTGATACTGATGGTTTATCCTTAAATCCAATGTCACCATTACAAATACTTTTCTTGAACATGGTTACTAGTTCACCGCCTGCAATGGGTTTGGGGGTTGAACGAGCATCAAAAGATATAATGAGATATCCACCCCAAAGTCGTCGTGGATTATTTTCATGGGAAGTCATTGGTGATACGTTATTTTATGGATGTATTATGGGTGGATTGACGTTAACAAATTTTTCTATAGTGATTTATGCAGCTGGTGATGGAAACTTAGGTAGCGGATGCAATCATAGTTTGAATCCGGAGACAGAAGACGCATGTGAGCAAGTTTTCCGAGCAAGAGGTGTATCCTTTGCGACTTTAACTTATCTACTATTTATACATGCCTATAATTGCCGATCGTTAAGAAATCCGATTTGGTCGATGCATTTCTGTGATAATAAATTTTTATTTTGTGTTGTAAAAGTTAATTTATAATATAATACTTACATCCTGGTTATTATAAAGAAATAAAAAATAAATTTATTTAATTAGATGATGTTTATTTTGTGTTGTAAAAGTTAAATTATAATATAATACTTACGCTCTGAAATTAAAAAACCAAATTATTTAATTAGATGATGTTTATTTT